GCGCGACTCTGTCGGACTTGGTGCACGGGCAGGCACTCGGTGGCTCGATTTCAATGATTGGACGAGTGTAGGACATGTGTGGGACATCGATACGCATTTTGGATGATGCTAATGCACGTCGATTGGTTTGCTAAACTTGCTACGAGGCGCATGGCCTTGGTAGCCTTCTTAGGCTCAGTTATGGTCTCATCGGCGACTTGTTGGCCGGCCGACCACATCTTTAAAAATCCAAGGACTCTTCAATATTCTTAGGACGTCTAAAGTCATTTATATGCTACTAGGGTTCGGTGGATTTCGCTCAGATCTAAATATTACTCGGTGATCAGAAACGGGCTAAACTAGGGTTCTAGTTCTTTGAGCAACCTAACTCATTTTAAGCCGAAACTTTAACCCTAAGTTCAACATGATTTATAAGGATTTTAGATCCAACGACTTAGCTAAATCCGAACATAATCAATTTCTAAAAATGCCACAAATCAAGGCTAAAGTCTCGATTTTTAAACCATATCAAACGTGCTCTAAGAATCACAATATTTTAACCACAGCCTCCACAACGAATATATGATTTTTGGTCAAAATATCACAGCAATACTAAATCTATAGCTCATTCAACAATAATCATCAATTCTAATTCTAGATTTGATTCACATATCAAGCGAACTCCAAAAATTCTTAAATATAAACCTCAGCCCCAAGACATTTTTATAAGATATGGAGTTCGGATCACTATTTTATCACATGTACAACTCAAGATATAAAATAATGTCTTTTAACTCATAACATCTAGATCTATTGTGATATAGGATATTCTACCCACAAGGCTAAACCAGTCTGCCGAACCGGTCGAAGAGGTTGTACCGGGAGGAAGTCGAGCCAGTCGAGCAGTCGACCAGATAAGCAGTCGACCAGTCAAGTAGTCGAGCAGTCGACCAGTCAAGCAGTCGACCACTCAAGTAGTCGAGCAGTCGACCACTCAAGCAGTCGACCACTCAAGTAGTCGAGCAGTCGACCAGTCAAGCAGACGATCAGATAAGCAGATGACCAGATAAGCAGTCGAGCAATCGAGTCGACCTTAATTGATCGACCCTTTATGGGTTGGCAGTGTTCTGGAGATCTACCTAGTCACAGGCGCGTGTAAGAGCCTCTAACCGAATTTCAGGGGAATATTCAGAAGAATTATCACCCCATGTGCAGAGGACACGTGGCGAGAATGCATTGGTTGACAACGACAACCACCTCTGACATAAGCTTGGCATGTCAGAGTACGGACGGGCA